TCCCAATTGGGTACATTATTTTCTCCTGTATTTATCTCCCCTACCAGGACTCGGAGTTTTTGTTGTTGTTTTTTCTTTCGAGATGGAGTCTCGCCGGGCGCGGTGGCACATGCCTGTAGTCCCAGCTACTTGGGAGGCTGAGGTGGGAGGATCACTTGAGCCCAGGAGTTGTGGGCTGTAGTGCGCTATGCCCATCGGGTGTCCGCACTAAGTTTGGCATCAATATGGTGACCTCCCAGGAGTGGGGGACCATCAGGTTGCCTAAGGAGGGGTGAACAGGCCCAAGTCGGAAACGGAGCAGGTCAAAATCCTCTGCTGATCAGTAGTGGGATCACGCCTGTGAATAGCCACTGCACTCCAGCCTGGGCAACATAGCAAGAACTTGTCTCTAAAAAATAAAAATAAAAATAAATAAGGCTGGGCGTGGTGGCTCATGCCTGTAATCCAAGCACTTTGGAGGCCAAGGTGGATGGATCACCTGAGGTCAGGAGTTCAAGACCAGCCTGACCAACATGGTGAAACCCCGCCTTAAAAAAAAAAAAAAAAAAAAAAAGAAGAAGAAATAAAATATTTCTAAAAAAATCGAAAATTTTTAAAAAAAAGAGAGTCTCACTCTGTCACCCAGGCTGGAGTACAATGGTGTGATCCTGGCTCATTGCAACCTCCACCTCTCAGGTTCAAGCAATTCTCCTGTTTCAGCCTCTAGAGTAGCTGGGATTACAGGAGCCTGTCACCACACCTGGCTAATTTTTGTATTTTTAGTAGAGACGGGGTTTCACCATGTTGACCAGGCTGGTCTCAAACTCCTGACCTCTGGTGATCTGCCTACTTCAGGCTCCCAAAGTGCTGGGATTACAGTTGTGAGCCACTGTGCCTGGCTCAGGACTTCAAGTGTTTGTTTTGTTTTGTTGAGATGGAGTCTTGCTCTGTTGCTAGACTGGAGTGCAGTGGCATGATCTTGGCTCACTGCAACCTCCACCTCCTGGGTTCAAGCGATTCTCCTGCCTCAGCCTCCCAAGTAGCTGGAATTACAGGCATGCACCACCACACTCAGCTAATTTTTGTGTTTTTAGTAGAGACAGGGTTTCACCATGTCGGCCTCAATCTTCTGACGTCTTGATCTGCCCGCCTCGGCCTCCCAAAGTGCTGGGATTACAGGCGTGAGCCACCACGCCTGGCCAGGACTCAAACATTTTATAGTCATTTCTGACTATCCCTTTCCCCAAATTCCTATCACATTGGCCAGTCAAGCCCACCCTTTCACAGTCTCCCTACTCCCTGCTTACACCTCATTCTTGCTGCCTTGGGAATCTAATCCTCACTGGCTCATATTTACAGTACGGGATCTGTATCCCACGTGGCCACTCATTCAACAGCCTGGCCCTGTGCTAGATGCTGTAGACACAGACATGAATGACACAAGACCTCCAACCTGACCTCCCTGTCTTTGCCAGGACAATCTTGCCTCCTTTTAGCAAGTTAGTCTCCTGCTACGGGACCTCTAAAGGCACCCTGATGCCTACCCAATCAATTCTAAATTCATACTTTGCTGTCTTTTAATCACTCAACAAGTATTACTAAAGGCTTACTGTGTGCCAGACACTAGGTATAAATCAGTGGTCAAAATAGGCAAGGGCCCTGCCTTCAAGGAACTTACTATCTAGTGTGGAAGACAGAAGCAAACGGCATAATCATGATAATAGTAATAACAATAAAGTAATTATATAATTATTCTTTAATGATATTTGTGAATAATATGAATGTCAAGAGGTGCCACAAGAATGTATAAGCAAGAGATCTAATCTAATCTAAACCAAAAAGCAAAATAAGGCCAAAGATCTGAGTAGGAGTCCAGGTTTAGGTGTGTATTGAGAGTACAGGTACCCTCAGGAAAAGGGAACAGCTCATTCAAAAGTCATTTAGTCACTCAACACTTGAGTCATCACCAAATCTCTGGGTCTCAGGTAACTCAAATACTGATTTTGTTCCAGATGACCATTTGACACCAACCAAAAACCAAATTGCAAGCTCTCATAACTCAATAACAAAAAGATAAATAACCCAATTAAAAATGGGCAAAGTATCAGAATATTCATTTCTCCAAAGCTCTGCAAATCATCAATAAACACAGAAAAGCATTATCATTATTACTAAAGAAATGCAAATCAAGACCACAATGAGATACCACTTTACACCCACCAGAGTGGTTATAATTTTTTTTAATGCAGTATAACAAGTATTGGTGAGGATGTGGAGAAACTGGAAACCACATACACTGCTGGTGGCAGTATAACTGAATGCAATCACTGTGGAAAACAGTTTGGCAGTTTCCCCCCTAAATTAACCATAGGGTTACTATACAATCCTGCAATTCCATTCCTAGGTATATATCTAAGAGAAGTAAATTCATGTACTCATACAAAAATCTGTACATGAGGCTGGGCCCGGTGGCTCACACCTATAATCCCAGCACTTTAGGAGGCCAAGGCAGGTGGATCACGAGGTCAAGAGATCGAGACCATCCTGGTCAACATGGTGAAACCCCGTCTCTACTAAAAATACAAAAATTAGCTGGGCATGGTGGCGCGTGCCTGTAGTCCCAGCTACTCAGGAGGCTGAGGCAGGAGAATTGCTTGAACCCAAGAGGCAGAGGTTGCAGTGAGCCGAGATCGCGCCATTGCACTCTAGCCTGGGTAACAAGAGCGAATTCCGTCCCCCCAAAAAAAAAATTGTACGTGAATGTTCACAGCAGCATTATTCATAATAGTTAAAAAATGAAAACTATTCAAATTTCTATTAAACGATGAATGGATAAATAAAATGTGATCTATCCAAACAATTGAATATAACTTGACAATAAAAAAGAATGAAATAGTAATACATTCTACAATATGAACAAGGAAAAGGTATGCTAAGCAAGCCAGTTACAAAAGATACATATTATATGATTCCACTCATATAAAATGTTCAAAATAGGTAAATCTATTGAGAAAAAAAAATTTGTGGTTGCCTAAGGCTGGGAGGGTTGTGAGGAGTGGAGAGCAGGGGGCATGCAAAATGACTATTAATGAGTATTTCTTTTCTTTTCTTTTTTTTTTTTGAGATGGAGTCTCACTCTGTCACCCAGACTGGAGTGCAGTGGCACCATCTCGGCTCACTGCAACCTCAGCCTCCAGCGTTCAAGCGATTCTCCTGCCTCATTCTCCCGAATAGCTGGGATTACGGGCACCCGCCAGCACGCCCACCTAATTTTTCTATTTTTAGTAGATGGCGGTTTCACCATATTGGCCAGGCTGGTCTGGAATTCCTGATCCTGTGATCCGCCCGCCTCGGCCTCCCAAAGTGCTGGAATTACAGGCGTGAGCCACCGTGCCAGGCAAGTGTTTCTTTTCTTGATGTGATGAGACTACTCTGAAATTGTGATGATGGTTGCACAGTTCTGGGAATAAATGCCATTTGAATTGTACACTTTAAATACGGGCATTGCATAGTAGATGAGTTATATCTCAATAAAGCTATTTTTAAAAATCAGGAATGGGAGATATTGGACTGAGGCGGGAGGATCACTTGAGACTGGGAGGCAGAGGTTGCAATAAGCCTCCATTCTGGACGATAGAGCGAGAGACCCCCTGTCTCAAAACAAAACAAAACAAAACAAAAGGCCCTTTACCTGTACCAAAGTACCTCACCAGCCAGGTACCACCTTTTCAGTGGATGAGGAGAACTGCAGAGGGATTAAGTATCCAACATAGGGGTCAGGGGCGGTGGTTTACACCTATAATCCCAACACTTTGGGAGGCCGAGATGAGAGGATCGCTTGAGCCAGGAGTTCGAGACCAGCCTGGCCAATACGGCAAAACTCTGTCGCTATAAACAATACAAAAAAATTAGCCAGGCATGGTGGCGGGCACCTGTAATTCAGCTATCCAGGAGGCTGAGGCAGGAGAATGGCTTGAACCTGGGAGGCAGAGATTGCAGTGGGCTGAGATTGCGTCATTGCACTCCAGCCTGGGCGACAGAGTAAGTCCCCATTTCAAAAAGAAAGGAAACAAAGTAGGTATCAGACTTGTGTTCTTCTCACTATATTCTCTTACGCAATGGCAGAATTAAGCTTCCCTCCTTGTGACATCCCTGCAGTTATACATGCCTCTAGCACTTATAATCATTTTAATTGTTTAACGGTTCTCATCTATTATTTCCTAACTTCAGAACAGAGATTGTTCTGATTCCTGTGTATCAAGATCTGACCTTTTTTAAATGAAGACGTATTCAGGAAAGAAATAGCTGCAAGTAAAGCGAAATGAAGTAAGAACCAGTGTACCAATATTCCCTCTCAAACAAAGGAAAAACATGAAACGAGAAACTAACAAGGCGGAGAAAGGAATGGAAACTGGGGGAAGCAGAGAGCATCTCCTCCCTCCCCGCTCCCTCGACAGGTTCCTTGGAAAGTTCTAGAAGGGATTAAGGTGTGACTGGTGACATCACCGTGGGCCCGTGGCGCCCACCACAGCAGCCAACCGGCAGGCTAGCTTTCCCGCCTGAGAGAGGCCGAGGAACGGGGGTGGGGCCCTGAGAGCGACGGGCTTGCGTCATTTCCGGTGCGGGACGCGAGGCTGTTGGAGAGAAAAGGCAAAGCGAGGAGGGGCGAGGCCAAAAAAGCGCGCGTTTCTGGGCGGGGGCGGAGCCTGGCTAAGGAGCGCCGCGTCACGTCCGGTAGAGTTAGAGCCCGTGCGGAGGCGGTGCGGAGCGGTTGTGCTCTGAGCGGCTGGGCTACCCGGTGTGTCGTGCGGGGCTGCGGCTGAGCCTCCTTAGAGAAGGCGCGAGAGGTTGGCAGCTTCGATTGAAGCACCTCGACCGGCGACAACAGCCAGGAGTCATGAGCGACAGCGGCGAGCAGAACTACGGCGAGCGGGTACGTAGAGCTGGTGTAGGGGGCGGCTGCGTGGTCCCAACTCCTTCCGTCTTTTTGTAGGCCCATCGGCCTTGGGCCGGGAGGCTGCGGCGTTTTAGGCTCCGAAGTCTGAAGCTGGGAGGGCAGGCAAGGGAGCAGCGTTGAGGCAAAAAAAAAAGCCCTTGTGGATAGTGCCTTAGTGCCTTTGGTCGTGAAGGAGGGAGGACACCGGCGGGTTTATGTGGCTTCTGCCCGAGACGGCCGTTTCTCCCGTTATAAGCGGGGGAAGATGAAAATGGCCGCTGCGTCCCCGCGCTGTTGGGGGAGGGGAGTGGTATCTTTCGCCGTTGCTCTCCTGCGAAGGTCCGCCGCAGCCATCTTGGACTGGCGGGCTGGGCGCGCTGCCAGAGGCACAAAATGGCGGAGGAGCCGCGCGGCTACTCGGGCCCGACCCGCTGCGAGCCGCGCCTCGCAAGGCCGCGTGGTGGGGTGAGAGGAGGCAGACGGCATTCCTTGGGGTCTTTGGCCAGGTGTTGAGGTTAACGAAGGGCCGTCTTTGCCTCCCCGGAAAGGACGGAGTCTGGTATGTCCTTGGGGGGCTTAAGATGGAAACTAATCCGAGATCGACTAAGTTCTGGGCCTGTTAGGTGGAGGGGATTGCGCGAGGGCTTTGTGTTTGGCTTCAATGAAGTGCTTTTTTTCTGGTACCGAGAGGGCTTCCCAGGCAAAAGTCCGTATCAGTAAGCTATTAGAGCAGACCACAAAGTCGCTAAGATGGTTTTGTGGCCATCGCTTTTCCCCAGAATTATGAAGGAGAAATTGACGGGCAACAATTGACGGCGCCGTTATTTCCTTTGTTTTGAGGCGTTCTAATACTTAGAACCACAGCGTGTGTTGGGTACAATTTCCTTTAAGTTTCCACCTCTTAAAGGTGTTCAGTGAGGGTCAGTTGAATTGCCGGAACAAGACAGTTCTAGGGTTTAAACAACATACACAGCCTCTCAGTGGGGCTCTGGGTATTAGATTCGCAGAGCATTGAATGATGCGAAGATACAAGGATTGCTGCATTAGGAATCTCTTAATAGGAAGGTAATAAAAAACCACCACAGAAATTGATTTTTGAGGCTGTTACGGGAGTAATTTGTGCTTTTTTTTTTTTTTTTTTTAACTTGTTACCTAAGTTTTCCCTTACCGGTAGAGCCACCTTAAGATCTGAATATGATTTATCAGGTAAATAAGACTATTAAATGTCTTAGCAAAAGTTTGTATTAATAATAGTTTAGAAAGAAACTCTCTTACCTCCTGGCGCCTTAGTAATGAAGCGAGAGTAACCAGTTTAGAGCCAAAGCTGATTAATTTGGTTTGAACTAATCAAGCCTTGCGTTTACATATTCGGATGAGCATAGTTTTTTTAGTTTTTCATGTTTTACCTTAAGAGGATTGACTCCAGTGTCACGAGTTTAGATTTTAAGTTCTTTCTTTCATGGGTAAGAAAGTAGGGATTGGGCTCAAAAGTTAAGAGTGACTTTGTTGGCAGTTGAATCAACTGTTAAAACTAGTCATTGGCTAGTTTAGACTGCAAAGTAAGCGATTTTAAAGCCTTTCGTTATTAAACAGCAGTTATTGGGTACCTTTGTACTCTACAAAAATACAAAATGGCTTCAGACTAGGGGAACTCTCAGTTGAATACACTTGAAGAAGCTGCATATGGTATGCTTGAGAATGGAAAATTGCCGGAAGAGTTAATTAGTACATTTTACGGGAGAAGGAAACAACTGAAGGAACTAAGTTCCAGTTTGAGACTCGGCTCAAGAGAAATCTGAAATTTTCGGATTGGTGGTTTTCTTTCTACTAGTAAAAGTACAATTGTTTTGTTCACAGTCTTTCAATTGTAGAGGGAGGTTAACTTAAATGTGTTAAAACTGAGATTTTTTTTTACCTAAGAGTCTTGGCTTATTGGCCGAGGTGTCTAAACATTGAAGTTGTGAAATGCTTAACATTGTTTTGTTTGGTGTTTGTGTTCCAGTTGGAACCGTTAAGGGTTGGAATACACCTGAATAAAATTTGGAAGTCTAGGATTCCAAAACAATGTTAGGAAAACCTTAAAGCTCAATGGAATAGTTTAATCTTAGACATGCCTGTGGGGTAAATGCTTCTCTGGAGCGAGAAAAATGAGTTTCCTTCAGCTCCAGCCAGGCTTCTGAACTGGCTTAATGTAAATCACTAATCTCTTCAAATCAGCTGGAATTCTGCCTTATTTATGTGTCTCTAATCCAGACGTCCCCACCCTTCTGTGCCCCACCTTTTCTAATAACTGTAGGAGTTTATTGTTGTGTCCCTCCCCTTTAAGATTGGGTGTATGGGATAAATTATTCCCAATTTGATCACTAATAGAATACAGTGCTTATTGGATGAGTATAATGACACTTAAAAACTGTTTCACTGTGTCTCTAATGCCTTGTTGGTCTGTGGGATTTATCTCCCCACCCCCCCAATCTCAGTAATAGATTTACACTAAATCAGTCTATAGGGGTCTAATTAGCAGACTTAACCGGATCTGGCCAAACCACTTTCGAAAGTAAGATCGGTCTCATTTTTATCTCCAGATTTAAGCCTGTTTTCCTTCCCCTCCCCCCACCCCCCAAAATTGCTTGACTTTTTATTAAGGGGTTGACTAGCACCTTTTCTTCGCAAAAAGAGGCACTCCTGGCAGTTAAGAATTTGAACAAAAAGTCGATAGTGAGTTTAGAAGTGCATGGTAATCTTTAGAGCCGTATAATGATCACAGTGTATAGGGTGTGAGATTTGTATGTTGATCTTGCACTCGATGTAATGTTCTAATCTCCTCAACATTGTAATGAGTTTCTCCAGGCACTGATGTATGGACCAGATTAAAGAAAATGTTTTGACCCAGCAAATACTCTGATAGAATACTGGCTGTTATTTTCGTAGAACCAGTGTGTTTGCAATATTAGTCGCACATTATCTTTAGAGAGAAATAGCATCTGGACACCAGCCCATCAAACTGCCTTTCAAATTCTGCAGTTTTTCTCTTCTTCTGCCTAATCTTGGGATGTCTTTTTATATTCCTTGGTTTTAGCTCCTAAATCTAAATTCTAATTTACAAAACTGAAACCTCTCTCAATCTACTTCTTAGTAAAGAATTGTAGCCATCTCACCAAATTCCTTTGTTGAATTGTCAAATAGGAAATTGTTTTTGTATTGTTAGGAGTCTAGTTAGGTCTATCGGTCTCTTGAAACCAGGTTGAAATTTTTTTTCTTGGTTTTAAACAAGAATACTTTAATATTGTGGATATTATCTGGAACTAGAACGTGACATTTTCAAGCAGACATTACAAGTGGTTTTATAAGGTAAGTACTACTGGTTTTGCCAAAAAGTTGAGGAATTCAAGTGGTGGGGGCAGTGTTAATGGCATTTGTCTTGCACAGCCTTTTTTCCTTCTTTCTCTTCAGTAAAACCCCAAACCTAGGTAGTAAATATTAATGCTTTCGTAGTTATTTTGCCCAGGACAAGGGCATAGTTACAGTTGTGTATATTTCTTCAGCCTTAGCGTTTTGTTTTATGTTGATCGGTGTTTTTTACATATGTGATTGTTAAAGGCGTGGTGACTGATGCATAGGAATTTTAAGTGTATTGACCCAGGTTAGTATTGAGGGTGGGATATGTAAAATTAGTTATGGAAATCATTCAGTATCATTTTTAAAATGTAAGCCAAACATGTTCTTCACTATAGCAAATTACAGTCTTGACATTCCCGAAACCCTTTGCTTTGAATTGGGTTTTGGAGGTTCCATTGAGATTGATAGTATATGAACATGCATTGTTTCTTGACAGTTTGGATGAAGGTCCCTTTTTTTCTTTGCATTAATTTTTGTGTTTAGAAATTAGGTTAAAAGATAGTCTTCTGAAAAGTCAAAAAGTCTTGAATATTTGCTTTCACTGGAAAGTACTGAATGTTTTATGAATGTAAACTTAAGCGACTGTGTTATTTTTGCAAGAGTGTTTTTATAAGCACGGGCCTATAACTAATTTCAGATGATGGTTTTTTCCAGACACTATTCTCCAGTCTTTTTTTTTTTTTTTTTTTTTTTTTTAATAGATGAGGGTCTCACCATTTTGGCCAGACTGGTCTTGAACTCCTGACCCTCAGGTGATCCTCCCTCAGCCTCCCAAAGTGCTGGGATTACAGGTGTGAGCCACCGTGTCTGTCCCAATTCTCCAGTCTTTAAAGATTTTTCTATCCATTCACCCTTCTGCTAGACAGTTTGGCTGCCAGAAAAAAAATGTACTCGTTATATTGATGAGAGCATTGAACTTAACAGGATTAATGAGTTTTTGTTCGCCCCATTCCTTCCAATTTTTAAAATACTGCCCTATCAGTCGACTTAATGAGTTTATGCATGTTTAATGTTAAATAGATAACAGTCGTATCCCCTAGCATCATTTTAACAAAAATTGTGTTGCTAGGACGTTTATTTCTAAGTAGGATCTCTTAACTAAATGTATGTGTTAACAGCCCAAGAGTTTGTCTTCTGATTTTATAAAGTAGCCACTTGAACTTAGCAACTGACTTGAAATAAATCTAGTGTTTATGTTAATCTAGTAATGGTTTTGGTCTAAGACTATAAGAGAAGGAAGCAGGTTGGGAAGGGGTAATAAAATAACAGCAGGAAAGTCTCCATATTGAAAACACCTGTGGTAGCTAGAAGTGTGGCCTCTATTCCAGTATCTTCTGCATCCAAGTGCCCTGTCTATCCAACTTTTAGAAGGCCCTAAGGAAACCTGCTTGGGCATTCTGATTCCACGATTACGTTTGTGCTGCCAGAAAACATTTCCCATTGCATTTTAGTGATGGACTTTTAAAGAAAACCAATGACTGTAACTCCCTGAAATAAAAAGGTATTTAAAATATTTTGAATTAAATAAACAACGATTGACTTTAAAACTAGACTAGAAATTATGTTTTTGTTAGGGAAGACGTCACAGCACTTGCCAGGCTAGCGATGCTTGTCTTTATTCCCAGACAGGTATAAAGACTTGCAGATTTTTAATTTTTTTTTTTAAACAAAGCCTTACATTTTTTCTGGAGGAAATAATTGCCAAAAAGATTATTAAGGTGAAATGTAGTATTAAAAAAACTAGAATGTTTTATGGAGGCAGTATTTAGTCTGTTCAACAGACTTTTACTACAGATCAGGTAAATTCAATCTTTTTAATTATTTGAGGCGGTGAGCTATAATTTTCTCTTAATAGTGCCACCTTTTAAAGTAGAATTTCTCCTTTGGACATCCAGAAGACTTAATATTTTCTTCATTGAGGGGGAAATGTAAAACAAAACTCTTTGAAAATAACCACTGTTGGATTCAAGTTTGTTCTGCTTTCCTTCATAGCTACTGGCATATTTTGTAGATGGTTGACTTGATTTTGTCTTTTTATGATTCATACTATGAAATCTCACTAGAGTAGCTTTTCCAGGGGTGGGTTGAACACTACAGTTCCAAATTGTCAGGCTCCTTGACACTCTTTCTACAGAGCTCTAATACAGTACAAAAATGTGTGACGTTAAATACATTTCTTTATACTATCTAGACATGTCACAATACCATAAACCCTTTCAACCCCGAGCCTTTGTCATCATACAAATGAATTGTCCGTACTTTCCTTTCTTGCACTTAGGTAATAATATGTCACTTTTTGAGGTGTGCTTTTGACACTTACCCTATTTTCTATTTACTATAAGAAGTGTGAAATGTAATTAATAGTCTTTAAAATGTTAAATGAACAGTAAATGTTCACTGGCGCACTTCACATTCAATTTCAGCATGATAAATCTATTTGGAGTAGACAAATGAGATTGATTACCATATATTCTAGAACCAGCAAAAAACTATGTAGTTTCAGTTTTTTGAGCTGCATATTCTAGTTTCTTTTTTTTTTTTTAATCCAAATCAACAAAGGGATTTTTTTTTCTAGTTTCAGTTTTGGCAGTGGATTTTATCCTGGAGTTTTAAAATATTCTTCATCCTGTTCTTTTTCTATTAAGGTTAATGTTGAAGAAGGAAAATGCGGAAGTCGTCATTTGACAAGTTTTATAAATGAGTATTTGAAGCTCAGGAATAAGTGAAGCTGAAATTTGAAAAAATAAAAGAAAGAATGCATGCTAATTATCAGACCAGAAGTCCCACTTGTAGAATATTGAGCAATTTGTGTGAAGTGGGGAAGATGAAAGAAGTCAGAATTTGAAACGGAAGAATGAAGAAAAGAAATAAAAATGAAGTTAAGATAAGAAGTAATCTGGAATCAGAAAGCACTACGCTAAGTAATTACTAGTCTGTTTATGTGTCCCTGTATATTTTGCTAAACATGCATGCATTATTTGTTTAATAGAAAATATATACAGGGTAAAGAAGTGCCTTCCAGGGGAATCGTTTAAATTAGGTAATTCTGATTTTAATTGCTTAGTGAAATGATTGAAATGCAATTTTTAAAAAATAATCTTTTATAGTCAAACACCCGGCAGCAATGAGCTCTCCAGCATGGGTAACAGTGGGCTTCTTGTTGTCCTCTCTAGATAAACTTTTCACTTATGTAATGTTGCTGGTCCTGGGGCACGAGTGAATACCTTCAGGGTTGGAACTGGTCGTCTTTGCCACCTCCCTGGACTCTTAAATTGCACTGACCCCTTTCTTTCAGTACTAAGCAATGTATAGTAAAATATTTTCTGTAAAACGGTTTTCAGAAGAATGTTGCCAGGATGGTTGTAGAACCAAACACCCAAAAGCCAACAAACAAAGCATTGAGTAAGATATTTCCCTTTGTCATTAGTGTTAAGTTTTTTTCCCCATATAGCAGTAGTGGAATTCAAAGAGCATTTGGGCCCTAACTTTAAGATGCATATTTGCTAAATAAACAGGGATGATTGCTCAATTTCTATTTCTCCTTAATGCCTATTCCAGCTGAATGACTGGAGTTATTGATAAAACAGTCGCTTCACCTTGCAAGAGGTGGGTCACACGAGTGAACAGGATAGCTAATTCAAAATGCAATAGTGGCAGATGCTTTCATTCCCTTTTCTCTTTTTCTGTTACCAACATTTAGCTACTGTAATGATAGAGGTACAGGTTACAACGGAGCTTTATTCTGGTTCCCCATCCCTACTACTTAATGAGAAATGAAACGTAAAGGCTCTTTTCTTTTCCTGTGTTTTGTTTTAGCTGAGTAGAAGAGTCAAGTGATTGGTGTAATGTTACTCTCAGCTGGATGAGACAAGTACACACATACCAAAATAATACCCAGTAGTAGCCAGCCAGCAGTTTTCCACCCAATCGAGAATGCCAGGGGTATCATCTTCACGCATTTTTTTCCTGAAATAAACTTTCTCTGAGAGTTGTCAGGTCTTCATGCCTTTGGAGAAAGTGATGTAAGTGGCATTTTTTTTGAGAATCCATTTTCTGATGCTTAAAGGCCTATTTATTTCTGTATCTTGAAAGCAGAATAAAATTTTCTCATTTATGAAAGGTTTTGCATTGCTTTGTTGCTTTGCCAAATTTCTTGCCGTAATAAACTAATAATATAACTGTTACTTTTATGTTCGTGAATTACTCAAAGAGCAGGCAGGTAGCTGAGGTAAAAGTGATGTGAACGAATATTACATTTTAATTGAAGCCCATGGATTCTTCTATTAAGAAACCTGACAGGCCCTTGGGGTGTAAAAGAAGACAAGACCTCTTAACCCCCCAGCCCACTAAGGGAAAAAAAGCTATTTGGAATCTGATTATATTACCTGAGCTGGATAGACTTAAGGTGAGAAAACATTGCTAATGAACCATTGGGTCCATTTGTTTTTGTTTTCTGGGAACAGGTAGTGTGGGAAAGGCTGCATTAAGTTCAAGGAAGGAAGGAGATGACATTTCAGGAAGATACTTTTGTCAAGGGAAAAAATTAATAGGAAGCCTGTAACTTGTGAAGTTGAGTAAGTCAGATTTAACCTGGTTATTATAAACAGTTTTTAAGAGATGCAGGTGCCCAAGTCCAGACCGCCTAAAAGTAGAACTCCAGTTGAGGGTTTTGTATTTGAAAATGCTGTAGAGGTTTAGTGCATATCTGTTTGTGAGCCACTGTTTTAAATCTAATAAATTACATCGAGTTTTTAAAATAATACAGGGATTGGATTGTTATTCCTTCTTTCAAACGCATTTGTGTAAGGTGGTTACTGTTCTCAGAATAGGGAGATGTAGATTACTTTGTTGGAAGGCTAAGTATGTTGTATTTGTACTTGATGTGTTCCCTGCAGGTTGTGTATTAGGATATAGCTAAGATCCAGTCTGTGAGAGCTTGATTGACTCCCTGAATGTTCCCCCCCTCCCCCGCAGCGAAATTTTGGCTTATTTGATTTATGCTATTTTAGGTTCATGGTCCCTTTGAGGCAGTGGTGTTCAGTTCTGTCAGTATAGTTTTAATGTGTTGACTATGTCAACGTAAGAGTGGAATTTGAAGCATCCTTACATTTAGGGGCTTTCCCAACTGGTTTTACAGATTTGCCTGGCTGTGCATTAAGGTTTAAAGTTAACGTTGTGCTTTTGATTTGGGTGCTGATTTTAGGTCTTGTTTCTTGTAGACAGTCTTTATTCCCTTGAATATATATTTCCCAGCCAGTTAAATGGCCAGAAGAACTTCAGAAGGCTTTTAACTTTTTCAAGAAAATATCCCTGATTAGAAAGAAGATGGAGATGTTTAAGTGTTAGCCGAAACAAATGTCAGTATAGAAAATGAAGCCTTTGCATTCTGGTATTACCCTTATTCCTGGCCTGATAAATGATTGCTTACAAAAACATACCTGCTGCGTAGTTGATAGTTTTGGAGGCTGAGTGAAAACTTTGATTTCACAAGTATTATATCTTTGATCTGTGATCTGCCAGAATTTAGTGAGAAAACTTCATGAAGTCTTACTTTTTAGGCTAGGAGTACTATTTCTTCCCTCAGTGGACAGACTGGTGAAACAGCTTAGCTTAGAATAAAGGTTTTTCTGTTAAATTAAAGCCAGGGACTTGAAGAGGGTCTTGACTTGACCCATTCTTCCTTTATACTCAGATTCCTGGGCTGACTGGTTTCTGTTAACCATTACTGTGAAGCACCCATATTCTGCTTTCACTTCCTGAGAAAATTGTTTCATTTTCATTGAGGTAATCTTTCTAGTGTTGGAATAAAAAACGCATTTAGCAACTTTTGAGTTCCCCATTTCTATTTTCTTACCTATATTACTTTTTGCCTGTAAAAATAGCAGAAACTACACCCTCATTTTCGAGACTTCCTACTTTTTCCATGGAGAGAAGGGAAGTTCCTGATCCAAATATTTGATAGGGAACCCCAAGGGATTGTCCCCAGAGCATCACTACATCCTTTATCCTCACTAATAAAGAAGGGTACCATCTTTCTTTTAATCTCTTGCTAGTCACTCATAGAGTTAGAGGGGAAAGGCTCTCAGGTTTCATGTCACTCCACCACGTTTTATAATGGCTTTGAAGTCATTTGAAAGTTTCTGGAGTCTCTGGGGCCTAGAGACCTCCCCTGAGCACCAAAGGATCATCCAAAATTTCTCCATTATGCTATAAAGCACAGAACTATCTTACAAAGTGTTTTGAGCTGTAATTTAAAATAATCCTCTATTTTCTATCCTTTCAAGAATGTCCAGGATACTCTAAAAATGTATCAAACAAGGAAATCTGTGATTAAATTTTATCTGGAAGGTTCACCTTTGATTCATGCCCTATAGTGATTTATTGTAATACTGCATCCTTTTGAGTCTTGTCATTTCTGCTCTCTGAAGTAGAAAGGCCCACCTGACTTTATTTTGTCTAAGTTGGATAACTTAAAGGTTGTCTTGATAATTTTACCTAGCTATCAGACTGACTAGGAGTAGGTTCTGTCCCTTTCCTCGTCTAATGTTATAGTGTCTTGGCAGAACTTTTCTTTGGTTTCATTACTTAGTACACCCTTTTGTTGATAAATTGAGTGTATGTCTTTAGCTTGTTGATGAACTGGTTATTCTGGTTAGCAATTTCTTTGCCATTTTTCATTATAGATTCCCCCTTTCCCCAACCTGCCAGCCAATCCCAGTTTCGATTGGGAAAGCTATGACTATACAATATTTACCTGAATTTTGGCTTTTGCATATAGTTCTATACTCTTGCTTCCTGGGCCTTAGATTAGGACCTCCTGATTTAGCTGCCCTGGTTTTAATATGTATTTAAGTAACTAGGAAAGTTAGGTTAATTTCTCATTTTTTATAATGTTGCTCTGGCTCATTGTTATTTAGCTGAAGACTCTGACAGATCTATCTGACACTCTCTCTACTCTTACTTGTGTGTAGTTAACTGTTCTGTTGTATGTAGCTCCATCTGGTTGCTTTCAGTTTCTTTAGGGGGCCTCCCACCATATTTAGATGTAATAGGGTTTTACAGGGTTTAGCCTTTGCTTTCCCCCTTTCTCTAGAACTTGAAAGGGAGATCATTGTCTTTATCTCTTTTATCACTGAATTATAAATATAACTTGAAAAGTCAAGGTTAAAATTAAGCATTTTTAAGTAAATTTTATAGAGTTTTGTTTTATTGATTGCAACTTGATTGAAATAGGTATAAAGTATAGGTGTTATAGTTAATGGAGGTTCCGTCTCACCCTAGTCTTTACGGAATAACATTCTGAAAACACAGTCCTTGGGCAGTTCCCTTAACTGCTTGGCTTTGGCACCCCTTTCCTGAAGGAAGTGGAGTCAAATAACCCTTATCCCTGCTCCAAAAAGGTGGAAGAAAGGACAAGTTAATTGACTTATGTTGTTTGGAGCAATGAAACTATTAACACCAGGTATACTCAGTTCCTGCCCTTACCTATATTTTCTTGTCTTGGAAGGGGATTGCTGTCCCTCAGCATTTATCTCACAGCAGCTTATTTGTTTTTAAAGTTGCCCAGAAAGTGTACAAATTAAACTTTTAACATCTACGTGTAGGAATCCCGTTCTGCTTCCAGAAGTGGAAGTGCTCACGGATCGGGGAAATCTGCAAGGCATACCCCTGCAAGGTCTCGCTCCAAGGAAGATTCCAGGCGTTCCAGATCAAAGTCCAGGTCCAGATCTGAATCTAGGTAAGAAAGACTGTCTTGAGATTTTCTCATTACTATTAGCTTTGAAAGTGGTGTGTGCTTTGTAAACCAGGAAGGTAGAGAGGGTTAGATTATTTGTTGGCTTATTTAAAATATTGGTACTAGAAGTGAACTTAAGTTCTAGGAGACAAGACAAAGTGGTTAAGAGCCTGGGCTTTCGGAGTCAGGGTTCTCTATTTTTGCTGGTTTGGCTATATTACATAACCTTTCAGCTTTAGCTTCTTTATAAAAGGCAAATAATTATTGCAGTACCAGTTCTTCAGGGTTGTTGTGAGGATATACTGAATGTAAGTAAACTGCTTATTAGCATGGCAGATATACTGTAGAACATTGGCTTTCAGTAATTGCACTTCTTGATAAATAAGTATATGGTGTGGTTTTTTTTTTTGTTTTGTTTTTGTTTTTTTAATGTTGGTCAGTGGTAGGCTATATATGCATCCTAATTTGCCTGGGACCAGTTTATGCCTCTTGTCAGGCATAATTAACAGCACCCCTTTTCTCAAATGTGTCCTGGTTTAGATGACGACTTAGAGTCACTCTAGTTAGTCAAGAGCCACTTGATTTTGTTTTTGTTTTTAACTGCTGGGGAATACTTGTGGTTTTGTTACTGTATTAAATTAATGGTGGGCATAATGAGAGACAAAAATAGAGAATGGTCTTCTGAGGGGGAAAGGGGCACAAGCCGAGCTAGTAAAATGCTGTATGCTTTGATTTGCAAAAGATAAGTATGTAAACTTTAATATATCTTTAATTGGAAGAAATACTGGAGAAGAGCTTGTGGTTTTTAGAACGCTTCCTAGCAAAGTTGAAATGACTATAAACAATTGGAGAAAAAAGTATTGATCCTACTTGATTGGTAACCATGTTAGCATATTCCTGGACTGTTCCCGCTTTGGGAGTTTAACTTTAGAACAAAGTAATAAAGAAGACAATATCTGTTGTGAGTCGTAACCTTGAAGTCTTTGTCTTGCAGGTCTAGGTCCAGAAGAAGTTCCCGAAGGCATTATACCCGGTCACGGTCTCGCTCCCGCTCCCATAGACGATCGCGTAGCAGGTCTTACAGTCGAGATTATCGCAGACGGCACAGCCACAGTCATTCTCCCATGTCTACTCGCAGGCGTCATGTTGGGAATCGGGTAAGATGAAAAACTGGTTTTGAAGCAATGAACTGCCTAAATTTACTTTCTCTCAAAGTTAGAGCTGATTTTGACAGTAGAGCTTTAGCAGTGAGTGGGTAAGTGAAATCTTAAGAGTCTTTTTTAGTGTTTTTGAGAGTGTCTTTTCAGTTATTTTAAGTTAATCTTTCATGATGGGGGTCTGCATTTGGGCTACCTGTCATTTAAGCATAATATCAACACAATAGTGTAACTCCTTAGTCCATCCAAAAAAGACTTCGCACTGTGCATTACTATACTGTACTATAGTATTAGCACATTATTTCAAAATACAGTTCTATGCTAACGTTACTTGTGTTCTGGGTTGCATAAACCCAGTTAAACACTCTCCTGACTTTCCCATTTAATTTGAAGCTAGTTTCTTTTGGGTGTTAAGGCATTTTTTTATATTTCATGAAAGGCTTCAAATGAGATGGTATTTATTGTGGTTTTATTGTATAATCCAAGTGGTTTAGGTGAAGGGTGTGGGGGACTTAACGTTTTTATGTTTCTTTCTCTTGTTTGAGACTCAGTCTCACTCTGTTGCCCAGGCTGGAGTGCAGTGGCACAGTCTCAGCTCACTGCAACCTCCGCCTCCCGTGTTCAAGCCATTCTCCTGCCTCAGCCTCCCAAATAGCTGGGATTACAGGTATCTGTCACCACGCCCAGCTATTTTTGCATTTTTGGTAGAGATAGGGTTTCACCCAGGGTTTGACCAGGATGATCTCCATCTCTTGACCTTGTGATCCACCCGTTTCAGTCTCCCAAAGTGCTGGAATTACAGGCATGAGCCACTGCGCCCAGCAAATGTTTTTAAAGTAGAATGGTTTATGAAATGAATGGAATCTTTAGGTGAATTCGTCACAGCATCTGGGATGTTAGCAACATATGGTTCACTCCTTTCCTCTTTCATCTTTGTTCCTTTTTGAGACAGGGTCGGTCTCTGTTGCCCAGGTTGGAGTGCAGTGGTGCAGTCTCAGCTCACTGCATCTCCTACCTTCCAGGCTCAAGCTATCTGCCCATCTCAGCCTCCTGAGTAGTTAGGGAAACAGAAATGCATCACCATACCCAGCTACTTTTTGTATTTTTGTAGAGACATAGGGTCTCACTATGGTGCCCAGGCTAGTCTCATGCCCTTCTGAACTTCAAGCAGTCCACCAGCCTTGGCCTTTCAAAGTGCTGGGTTTACAAGCATGAGCCACCACATCTGGCCGACTCTTGTTTCTTAGAGTGATTGCAAGCTGTTTATGACCTGTAAAATGGTTTGGTACACATCCCCTCAGGCTTCATTTATGTATATTTGTGTGTTATGCTTCTAAAAAAAATAAAATTATATGTGCTTATCTTTTTGGCAATTCAGAGCATTCTGTTAAATGGAAGGTGTCAACATTAAAATTTTCTCTAGCTAATAGACATTGTGGTTACAATTATCTTTTTGTGTCATTACGAATGTATGAATTTTTCTTAGAATAAATTCATGGAAGGAAAGATGCCAGGCTGCTTTTCACCAGCATGAGTACTTGTTTCCCCAACTTACTTAATTCACAGGTTGAAATTGTTTCTTTTGCATTCTTTCCTACCCATTCCCAAAACTGCCTGCAGTACTTGCTATAATTTCTAAGTGGTGTTTGGTCTAATTATATACTTTCCTTGTTAGTGACATCTTGGCTAGTATACAGCTCCCTTTTTTAAAAACTTTGATTTTATGACAACTTTTCAAAGTTTAAAATTGACTTTTTTTTTTATTATTATTTCTAGGCAAATCCTGATCCTAACTGTTGTCTTGGAGTATTTGGGTTGAGCTTGTATACCACAGAAAGAGATCTAAGAGAAGTGTTCTCTAAATATGGTCCCATTGCTGATGTGTCTATTGTATATGACCAGCAGTCTAGGCGTTCAAGAGGATTTGCCTTTGTATATTTTGAAAATGTAGATGATGCCAAGGAAGTAAGTAAAAGTCAACCTGTTCTTTGTAAACCACCAGTTCTCTTAACACCAAATACAAGTGGCCAGTTGCTAGGATAAGAAATCAATAATACTTTGAACTTTTTTTCCAACCTCTTGTGGAGACTCAGATACATGCAGAATAACAGAAAAGTTTGTATGACTTAGCAAAGTTGGTCCTACTACCTGCTTCATTAGTTGCCAACTATTGGGATCAGCTATACCCCAATTCTGCCAGGATATGTAGTTAGTGTTTACAATGAGTTTACATTCTAGAGTTAAAAATAGCCAAAATAAAGTTATGATGCAGAAGGAAAATACTCCTTTTTTGCTAAGTGAATGATGACATGTTTGGATTTTGATTGGTCTTGAGGCAGAATGTAGAAAGAGTAAAGATATGTGAGTCTAGACCACATTTAAAGGATGGTAGCTGAAGTACCCTTTGAGTAGAAGGAAGAGGAAAAACTGACAAGCCCTCTAATAGTCAATGTTGAGATTAGAAATTGAGCACCAGATAAAATCACTTAATGTAGGTAGGTTTTTATGGAAATTAAAATTTTTAAAAAGGATAACTTTAAAGGGGTGACCCACTGGAATAATAAAAACTGAATGCAACTAGTTATAAGTAGTGACTGTGGAATCGTGAGATTCAAAGAGACTTAAGATACACGGCTTCAGTTTAGGAAAAATTGATATGCCAAAGGTCACTTAAGTTTGTCCATTTCCTAATTAATTTTTGCAATAGGATCACAGCTCTCAGAAAATAGCATAATTTTTATCTTTGTCTAGTGCCAAAAACTGCCTGGGGCATAAACACTAGCTTGACCATCTGAACTAGAAGATTTTTGGAATTTGAAGTTTAAATTCTATTTAGGTGAAAGAATGTTTCTTTAAATGTATGTTTTTAACATTAAATACATATTCCGGGAAAAGGAACTATAAGTACCTAACTGTACAAGGCTTTGCTTCAGCTTTTGGCTTCCAGAGAAGGGCTAACTAAGAAAACTTTAAGGATTAAATGATAAATACATTCAGGTTCGAGTCATAGAACCTGTCATAACTCTTCAACTCTGCTGTTTTAACCCGAAAGCAGCCAAATGAATGAATGGGTCCCTATTCCAGTAAAAGATTATTTGTGGGCATTGGAATTTGGATTTCATGTGTTTTTTCACTTGTTAAATACTGTTTTTTCCCCCTAGTTATTTAAACTCTTAGTTTATGGGTTATACAGAGACAGCCAGCTGGCCAGATTCGACCTACAGGCTATAATTTGCCAACTGTATGCTGCTTTGGAGCTAGAAACACTGTCAGGATTGTTAGGTACAATAATTACTTCAAGTTTTTATGACTAGGTTATACAAATATTTAGTGTAGGAACAACACACTTGTAAGTTGTAGACCTTATGTTCTGGCTAACATGAAGATAACTTAAAGCACCCAACTGAAATGTTCAGCGGGACCTTACTCATAAAGATAATTAGTGGTTTTGTTCAGCGTATATATGACCATTTATTTCTCTTTTGAAGGCTAAAGAACGTGCCAATGGAATGGAGCTTGATGGGCGTAGGATCAGAGTTGATTTCTCTATAACAAAAAGACCACATACGCCAACACCAGGAATTTACATGGGGAGACCTACCTAGTAAGCTTATTTTCAAAATAAACATAACTGGCAGTTGTTCAGTGGTCAAAGAAGCATTTGTATTAGTGGAAAGTCTTCATTCAGCACCTTGGTTTGTGCCATAAATTTGAGTGTCAGTTATTAAATGTTCCTCATTAGGTCATTTTTCTCATAGAAATTTAACCACTACAGGAGTATAGGTAAAACTATAAATCTTTGTCAAGTGCATTTTTAAATTTTTTTGTTTTGAGACAGTTTCCCTCTTGCCCAGGCTGGAGTGCAATGGCATAATCTTGACTCACCACAACTCCCAGGTTCAAGTAGTTGTCCTGCCTCAGCCTCCCAGGTAGCTGGGATTACAGGCAGGTGCAACCACACACAGCTTATTTTTAGTAGAGACGGGATTTCTCCATGTTAGTCAAGCTGGTCTCAATCTCCTGACCTCAGGTGAGCCACTGTACCTGGCCAAATTTTTTTTTTTTTTTTTTTTTTTAAGATGAAGTCTTCTTTACCCAGGCTGGAGTGTGGTGACATGATCTCAGCTCACTGCAACCTCCGCCTCCCAGTTTCACACGATTCTCCTGCCTCAGCCTCCCCAGTAGCTGGAAATACAGGCATGTGTTAGCCAGGATGGTCTTGATCTTCTGACCTCAAAATCTGCCCTCCTTGGCCTCCTAAAATGCTGAGATTCACAGGCATGAGGCACCAAGCCCAACCTATGATGTCTTTTAAGTAGAGCAGAGTGATACTGTTTATTTTTTATCCTTGTAGAAATATGTGGGATGTGCATATGTAGGATCTCTGTTTCCTTAACCAAAGATTTTTTTTTAAGTAGGTGTATACATATACTGTAACAAGGGAAAGAGCAGTGCTTGTTCAATATAGGTGAGAATTTTAACAGACATAATGTTCATTTTCTAGTTAATGTAGATATAAAAAGTCACGTACAGAAATATAAGGGACACTTGGTATTTTTTTTCTTCATAGTGGCAGCTCTCGCCGTCGGGATTACTATGACAGAGGATATGATCGGGGCTATGATGATCGGGACTACTATAGCAGATCATACAGGTAAGTTATGAAGGTCACCTTCTGAATCTCAGTTACAGTGTACAGATTAGCACTATGCTTAAGTTTTAGCCTTTCATAAAGGCTTTGCTGTAGTACTTTGAGAAACGCAAAGCAGAAGCTTAAACCAGATTTTAAAGTGATATGTCTTTAAATTCATGTGTGATTGGATTTCTGTTCCAATATTCTAAAATTTAAATGGGGTTTAAGTCACTTGGAATGTCAATAAAATAACATGGTTTTTTTCTTCTTCTTCTTTTTTTAACATGGGGTTTCACCATGTTGGTCAGGCTGGTCTTGAACTCCCGACCTTGGGGATCCGCCCGGTCACGTGTTTTGTGTGAATTAGCTGTTTTAGAGTGACAGGCCAGGCGTGGTGGCTCACACCTTTAATCCCAGCACTTGGGGAGAGGCCAAGCTGGGCAGATCACCTGAGGGCCAGCCTGGCCATCATAGTGAACCCTGTCTACTAGAAATAAAAAATTAGCCAGACATTACTCAGGACACTGAGGAGAATCACTTGAACCTGGGAGGTGGAGGTTGCAGTGAGTTGAGATTGCACCACTATTCCACTCTGGGCAATACATCAAGACACTCAAAAAAGCTAAAGCAAAATTATAGGCTGAGGCAGGGGGATCACTTGAACTGAGGGATTTGAGACCAGTCTGGGCAGCATAGGGAGACCCATCTCCACAGAAATGAGTCAGGAAGCTGAGGAGTTTGTGGCTGCAGTGAGCCAGGTACACTTCCGCTAGAGCAAGGCCCTGTCTTAAAAATAAAAAAAAAATCAAAAAATAATTATAACCTGTGTCTTAGTATTATAAAAACAAATTTGCAATGTTTTATAAAAGCAAATAGCATAAGCCATTGCTTTTCAAGCAGTTTCTTGGTATTGCTGATGCATGGGTTGTACGCTTAGAGGGCAGGTAAAACTGATGCTGTGAAAAACCAGAAAATAATTAAATAAAATAATTAATTAAAAGGGTAAGTGACTTTTTGTGACTGCCAAAAATTTGATATTTATAGAGGTTTGGGTAGGGAAATGCCAATCATTGTTAAAGATATCTTTGAAAATAACTTGATAAAAGTAAATTAAAGTTGGGAAATTTGGGTCCTCCCTTGCTTGTCAAAATGTGTAATTTGACAAGTGAAGTAGTGTAGTTAGTATTGACCACAGTTGTCATTGATACCTTGATAATTGTACATTATTTGGTAATGTTTAAGAAATTAACAGTTGTGGATCATTGAAAGTGAGTTTTTAAGTATGTTCTTGTTCAGCATTTTATCACCCATGAAAACCCTTTTTTTGTCTTTAAAGTATCACTCTATTCAATGGTACTTAAGGTATTAATTTGACAGGCCTGTTTGACATTTTTTTAAAATAGTACTTAGGAGTGTTCTGTGTTCTAATAATACTACTCATTTCAGCCACCAGAGAGAGCTCTATGCCAGTTTCTAAAAAGGGTGGCAAATCACTTGACATACAAGGAGCATCTCATTCATGCTCTATGAAAGTTTAATTTACTGAATGAATGACATAATTTTACAAAACTGAATGCATGTTGTCCTTGTGTCTTTACAGAGGAGGCGGTGGCGGAGGAGGAGGATGGAGAGCTGCTCAAGACAGGGATCAGATTTACAGGTATTCCAGGAGAGGATTTAGCATCTGTACAACAGTAGAAAGCTTCACATAAAGATGTTGCCTACTAATATTTTGTAAATTATAAGTGAAATACCCAAAATCAAACTGTTTGAAGCTCATGAAAATATTCTAAATGAAACTAAATGACTGTGTAATGTCTTGTATATTTGTAAATATTAATTGGGTTTGGAATACGTTATTAGTGGTGTACCATTTTATACCTTAATGATGTTAAAGATAGTCACTGTTAAAGAACTAGTTTTTTGTAATTACTTTTGTTATGTTCTTGTATTACATTTTCTTTGCTTTTTGTAAGCATCTCGGGTACATTCAAGCCAGGCTTTTTTACACAAAACTAAATCCCGAAGTGCTTGTGAAATTAGTTTTGGGTGTTAGTTCATGAGGATATTGTGGGAATTATTTAATGGTATGGGACTTCCCTCTCATTGTTTTGGAGACAAGAGTGTGGTTCGGTTGCCTAGGCTGGAGTACAGTGGAGCAATTCAGCTCACTGCAGTCTTTGTGCGCGCGCGCCACCGCCCCTTGCTGGGATTATGGGTGTGTGCCACCATGCCCGGCTAATTTTTTGTATTTTATAGAGACAGGTTTTCACCATGTCGCAGGCTGGTCTAAAAACTTTTGGCCTTAAGTAATCCTCCTGCCTTGGCCTGGGCATGAGCCACTGCACCCAGCCAGGAATTTTCTTTTACCTCTCTTAACATACGTAAAATTTAAGAGGTAACCAGATTAAAATATAGCAGGGATTGTTTGACCTGAAAGTTATTAAGAGTGCTTATTTGATATTTGGGCCTGATAATGTGCTTCATTCTCAAGACTTAAATAGACCTTGAAGGTTCATGCAGCTTTTCTCTTGGGAACTGATAAAGGGGCAATACATATAGTCATAAATTTAATATGTTTAGTCTAAATGTGGTCTGTGGAAACTTGGACAATCTTCACATTTGTTTGTAGAAGACGGTCACCTTCTCCTTACTATAGTCGTGGAGGATACAGATCACGTTCCAGATCTCGATCGTACTCACCTCGTAAGTTTTTATCTTAATGTGATTTATATTGTAATACTGTGACTTGCTTTGACAAAATATGCCAAGTACTTCCCTTTTGCAGATAATGGATTGGTTTCAGGTAGTTTTATGTATACTTAAAATATCCCCACACACCCTGAATGTTTTTTGGGTTCAAGAATGTAATGAATGGGAACAACCGAAAGAAAAATTGGGCAGCTTCCTGAGCCAGGAGTAGGCTCAGAGACTCCTGTTGTTTCTAATTGAAATAGGAAATAATATATTTCTACCATTTAATAGCTTGTCAACAGTCCTTAACAAATTTTGGGCAGCACAGAATCAGGTGAAATTTTGAAATCAGCCCTTTAGCGCTCAGATCCCTTAATACTTTTCAGCAATTTGTTTAACATTGCTATCTCATTTCTAGTATAATACTTTGATGGAAGTATGCAGGCAAGGTGGGGTTGGCTGGTATATAGGAATTTGTTAATGGCAGAATATTCTTAAGTTATCAGCATTAAAGTATGCTTGATAATTAATTCACTTAATATTATAGCATGTTCATTCTTTTCTTCCCAGGTCGCTATTAAAGCATGAAGACTTTCTGAAACCTGCCCTAGAGCTGGGATATTGTTTGTGGACAATATTTTTTATTGTCTCTTGTTTAAAAAGTGAACAGTGCCTAGTGAAGTTAGGTGACTTTTACACCTTTTATGATGACTACTTTTGGTGGAGTTGAAATGCTGTTTTCATTCTGCATTTGTGTAGTTCGGTGCTTTGTTCAAAGTTAAGTGTTTTCAGAAAAGTATGTTTTGCATGTATTTTTTTACAGTCTAAATTTTGACTGCTGAGAAGTTTCTATTGTACAAAACTTCATTTAAAAGGTTTTTCTACTGAATCCAGGGTACTCTGAAGATCGAAGCCTGTGTAAAATGCTACCAAATGGCAAAAAGCAACAATAAACAGTTTGATTTTTACTTTTGTTTTTAACATATCAATGCTTAGCAGAACTATTCAGTTGTCAGTAGTAAATTTAAAGACAAACGGCCCGTTTTCCTCCAGTTCATGAAACATACCATACTTATACCTGCAACTAAATGTTAAAAATTATGCTTTGTAACTCTGTACTGCTAGTATTAGAACTAAAAATCTACAATACAGCCAGTGCTTAATGCTTATATAAATGTGGATTTGTCGGCTTTTATGTAATCTAATATGTATAGCAGGATATACAAAGAGTTACACAGTGTATGCCTTAAAAGGCTGTTTCTTAAAGCTGTCACAAGGGGGTGATAGTATTTCAACTAGTTATCAGCAAGTGACGATACATTCCACCATAAATATACTCTTGTTCTTCTAGCTTTTAGACTATATGAAAAAAACTGGGTGCTTTCAAAGTACATGATGAGAGAAGGGAACACTACACCTGTGTCATGGATGAACTGAAGACTGCCTGTTCATTTTTTAAATATTATTTTCAGGTCCTTTGCTTACCAAAGGAGGCCGAATTCCACTCAAATGTTTTGAGAACTGTGATTAAATAAACGCAAATGAAAAATGCTGGTGCAGCTGTTTACAAAGTGTTCTTCTAACTATTGTAATTAGACTTTCTGTAGTTGAATCGCTAAGGCATTATGTTCCTTAGGCTGAGATGTATCTTGCTATTTGAGGGGTGCAGGATGGGGAGATGAACTTCTGTATTCCTGGAAAATTCAGAGGGTATAACTAGATAATAGAGTGATGTGCATTTGGGGATGGAGTTACGGTAAATAACTTTGAGGGTACTTGAAATGCATGTTCTTAGTATTTTGCATTTAAGTAATTTTCATAACTAATTGTAGGGATGTTACTATAGGTGGGTTATTTGTGTTAGTCTGCTGACCTTTATCTAATTTAGATATTTAGTATGTCCCAGGTACTTTGGGAAGCACCTTTACATGTAATCTTTAGCAATGAAATTATATAGGGTAACTTCGTTCAAATAGCTGTTGAGGTGGCAGCCTCAACATGATCTGAACCTAGGTGATCTTAGCCCACAGTTACATTAATCAAGATGTCATACTTCCTCTAATCTGGGTAGCTGGGTGATGGAAAATACCATGGATGGAGCATAGGCAGTATTGGCAGGTCTTAATTTGTAAAATTTACTTTGCAGGATGTTCTAAGTGTTTGCAACTTTCGGTAAACTAATATTCTTAAACTGCCCTTAAACATGTTTCTAATAAGCATGTGGAAATAATTTAGTGTATGCCTGATGGATTACTTCAAATTGTTCTCAACCAGTTTGGGAATAAGAATTTGTAGTATTAATATATAAAGTTGAGTTTTAGAATGTGGTCCAGAAGGGGTTGTGTTACAGAGAGATAAATTAAAGGCTGAGAGGCCTGGTTTTATTGTGATAGTATATACTTCATGAAGGAATATACTATGCTTATAGCTGTCCTAGCGGGGGGTCAGGGGGGATAGGTCAGCTGTATATGCTCTTTGCTGATTACTCAGGCTATGTGGTTATCAGATCAGTTACCTATTACAGTGTATACAGGGTTCGGTGCTAAAAGTTTTGGCATCCACTGGACGTCTTGAAATGTGACCCTCATGAACTATTATGCTGTTTCTGCTGCACAGCAGTTTATGGTTCTAAAACAGCATCCTTTCCTGAAGTGACTACATCTGCCTCCATTTTCTCCCTAACCAAACCCCTCCTGCATCAGTTAACTGATGGCTTGTGCATTCACCCTACCGAGAGTGTTAACAGGCAAAAAAGACCCTGAGGAAAATTTGGAATTTTACCAGGTTGAGACAGACAGAAGAGTAGTGAGACAAAGTGGTAGTTTGTTGATGTGCTGTAATACTAATCACAAGTCTCATGAAAGGGAGACAGCAGACCCCTAGGTAGTAACTGATGCCATGGGCAGTTGAAACAGACAAAAAAGAAAACCATGGAAAAGGATAAATTTGAGTCTTAAAGTTCTTGCAAAGGGACTTGGAGGCTTTTATATGCCAGTTTAAACAATCCATTGCTTATGGCTGTAGGTAGGGCTGAGACTATGAAAGCAAATGCAAAGTTCATTTGGAAGATTGATAAGTTAAATAATTCATACCAGGCTCTTGTGAAACATTTCAGGAAATAAACAGGGTCCCAACAAGTAGAATAAGGCTGTGTCAAAAGATTTGTAGACCTGAGAGCAGCTGTTTCCAACCTCTCAGCCATGGATTGCTACCCAAGCTCCACCTTCTGTCAGATTAGCAACAGCATTAGATTCTCATAGCAAAACCCTATTGTGAAGTGTGTGTGTGAGGAATCTGAGTTGCACATTCTTTATGCAAGTCTAACTACATGTTAGAGAATGCTCAAGCTCTGAAATGTTTATTGTTAACCCTACATAAGGAATATAAGCCTTATGATAAAACTAATTTATAACCAAAGGAATAGTTCTTAGTCCTTTCATCTCATTGACTAGGATTCCATTTCTGCAAAGCCCAGGGGGAGAAACGGAATTAGAAGTTTCAACCTGAAGAAATAAAAATATTTGATCTGCATTATCAAAATTCTTGTAAATTATGTGAAAATTTTGAGGGTGGGTTAGGCTGGGTTTTATTAGCAGCAGACACCCCAATTTTCCTTCAGCATGTCATCTCAGATAGTGGTTTCTTATTTCATTGGCTCTTGTAAGATTGGACTAGACGCTAGTTTATGCCAAGTGTCATCAACAAAGCCAGAATGCTACTGCAATAATGTAAAGGATTGTATATTCTCTTTTACATACTTAAAGACTTAAAAGTGACAAGGATACTGGATTAGTTCTATTCCACTCACTCTGCCCCTTACTAGCAAGACAAGACAAATCCCTTCTCCCCATGAGCTATCAGTTGAAGCTAACACTTTCAAGAGCTTTACTTGACTGGTAAGAGGAGATATTGAAATGGGATCACAGGTTAGTAGAGACTAGTAATTACTGTTTTTTTGTTTGTGGTGGCGTAGGGTGGAGAGCGGGGAGGGTGTTTTTGAGACAAGTTTCACTCTTGTTGCCCACACTGGAGTATAATGGTGCAATCTTGGCTCAGTGCAAACTCCATCTCTCAGGTTCAAGCGATTGTCCTGCCTCAGCCTCCCAAGTAGCCGGGATTACAGGTTCCTGCCACCATGCCCACCTAATCAGTTTTTTTGTATTTTTAGTAGATACAGGGTTTCACCATGTTGGCCAGGCTGGTCTCGAATTCCTGGCCTCCAGGTAATCACCTGCCTCGGCCTCCCAAGATGCTGGGCTTATGGATGTGAGCTACGTGTGTCCCGTGAAGACCAAGTAATCACTGAACCCTTAGAAGCTGAAGTTGGCAGGGTTAATTGTAGCAGCAAGATAGAAGTGCGTGAAAGGATCTGACAGGAATTTCAAGCTGTAGTTAACTAGATTCTGGTTCACCGAAATAAAGACAAGTCTTTTACCAAAGACAACCTGCAACCACTGAACTGTGTTGTAGAAAAGTACACTCCCAAACTTTACCCAGAAATAACAATTGACCAACAACACGGTTTGAACTGTGTGGGTCTCCTTAAAGGAATTTTCTTCGTCTTCCACCCCTGAGACAGCAAGACCAGAACCCCCACCCCCCTCGGCCTACTCAACCTGAAGATGATGGAGGATGAAGACCTTTGTGATCCGCTTTGATGTAAATATCTCCGGATTTTATTTGCTCTGGCTTACTTGACAACACAGTGACTCCATGTTTGGGTCCCCTTCCACAAACACGTAGAAGCTGCTTTTTCTCTCCATTCCATCTCAGTTCTCTTCCACTCAGTGTGGAAGTTGTCTTTCCTCTCCTGGATTCCACTTTTCTGGATTCTCTCAGTGTGGGAGCTGTTACTCCTCCTGTTTCTCTATAAATAAATCACTTTCTACCAACAAACACAAATAGATACACATAATAAATTTTGTGTTACCTATGGTATTGGTAAGGCTTCTAACTAGGCTGTGGTTGGGGGGGGGTCAAAAGTTGTGTGTAACTGGGTACAGAGGATTACATGACAAAAAGGAGTATAAGACCAAGAAAAACTTAAGCTCATTGTCTTGGTCTGGAAAAACACACGAGTTCACAGGTATCTTCTGGACAGATCAGTATCTAACGATCTTTGTGGTTAAAGAGTTGGACCAGTAGGGTAGTCAGATTGGTAACAAAGCAAAGGCAACCAACATCCTCAGTGGATATCCACTTAAGTTTTTTTTTTTTTTTTTGAGATAGAGTTTCGCTCGTTACCCAGACTGGAGTGCAATGGCACGATCTCAGCTCACCGCAACCTCCACCTTCTAGGTTCAAGTAATTCTGCCTCAGCCTCCCGAGTAGCTGGGACTACAGGCATGCACCACCATGCCCAGCTAATTTTTGTATTTTTAGTTAGAGACAGGGTTTCTCACCTTGTTGACCAGGATGGTCTCAAATCTCTTGACCTCGTGATCCATCTGCCTTGGCCTCCCAAAGTGCTGGGATTATAGGCGTGAGCCACCACGCCCGGCCAGATTTAAACATTATTACCGTAATTTAGCTCCAATGTAAAATATGCTTTGATGGGAATAATTGGAGTATTAAGTTTCCTGTGAAGGCGGACAGTAATTTGTTCTCATTTAAAATAACATTCTAGGCCGGGTGCAATGGCTCACGCCTATAATCGCAGCACTTTGGGAGGCCAAGGCAGGTGGATCACGAGGTCAAGAGATCGAGACCATCCTGGTCAACATGGTGAAACCCTGTCTCTACTAAAAATACAAAAAAAAAAAATAGCTGGGCATGGTGGCGCACACCTATAGTCCCAGCTACTCGGGAGGTTGAGGCAGGAAAATTGCTTGAACCCAGGAGGCGGCAGTTGTGAACTGAGATGCGCCTTTGCACTCCAGCCTGGGTAATGAGCAAAACTCAAAAAAATAAAATGACATTCTGAATTTGTTTTTTGTCATTCCTGTATAGGACCTTACATACCTGTACTGTACCATGTAACTTGGCTTCTGTACCAAAGTTCACCAGAGAAACAACCATTACTATATAGATGTCAGCTATACATACACTTTTTATTGATTTTGTTTTGAGACAGGGTCTGGCTCTGTGCCCCAGGCTGGGGTGCAGTGGTGTGATCACAGCTAAACTGCAGGCTTGAACTCCTGGGCTCAAGCGATCCTCCCATTTCAGCCTCCAAAGTAGCTGGAACTACAGGTCTAACTAACTTTTTTAAGAGATGGGGTCTCACTGTGTTGCCCAGCCTGGTCTCTCAATCCTCCCACTTGGCCTCTAAAGTGCTGGGTTTACAGGTGAGCCACTGCACCTGGCCTACATCCACTTTTAGATTCATACTATGTTTATACTGTGAACATTTTAATATACTTCTAATATGCTTTGGAAAACCCATTTAGGAGAATTTCTTAGGTCCAGAGTGTTCAGGAATTATCAAGCTTAGCTTTTGATTTGTAATTTTTATTACTAAAAATATATAATCAATATAGGTTCTATATTTTTCTTAAGGAGTCTCACACTCTGGCCCAGGTTGGAGTAGTGCAGTGGTGTGATCTTGGCTC